CTGGCAGTTTCTCATGACTGCCAATCCCTTTCTTATAGTATTATGGTAAATGTTCAGGGTTTGCTTATGAGTAAGAACATGTGGTGCCCTGTTCTTTGTTTCTGTGATAGATCATTCAGTATTATTGACTCTAAATCCATCCAAGTTGCTGCGAAGTCCATATGTCTGAGACACTTTTTTCCCACTGCTCAAAACAGTTTTTGAACTTGTCCATTGTGATATCTTTTAGTGCTTCTGCCATTTTTTGTTTCACCTCTTCTATACTGGCAAGGCATTTCCCTTTGAGGACTTATTTTAAATCCAGGGACACAGAAAAAAGCTGTTCAGCGTGAGATCGGGTGAATAGGAAGAGTGGGACACTGGGGTCATGTCGTTTTTGGTCAAAACTGCTGAACACACAGCACGATGTGGGCAGGTGTGCACGAAAATTGCTCATCATGGAATGGGCAACATCAATGAAAGAATCTCCAAAAACATTCCCTGAAGCGGAATGCATTCTCTCACAGCAACACTAGCTGGTACATGGATGCCAATTGGTTCCTAGAACACTTACCTAGTGGGGGAAGCCTGTACTCCAAGGGCCCGACCTCCAAAAGATAATTCTGGTTTTTGGGGGCGATCCTTCCATACATACATGTATATATGTAACGTATATGTAACACATATACATATATACTATAACTAATGCACACATAGATATTTGCATAAGTATATATATGCATGCATGTGTGTGCATAAATGTGTGTATGTACACATATAAACACACATACACACACACACACACACACACACACACACACACACACACACACACACACAAACATACAGTAACCTCTCAGTAGCTGCAAGGAATTGGTTCCAGGATGCCTGTGAATACTCAAATCTGCAGCTACTCAAGCCCCTTATATAAAATGGCATGGTAATTGCATATAACCTACACATATCTTCCTATATACTTTAAATCACCTCTACATTACTTACAGTACCTAATACAATGTAATTACGGTACCTAATACAATGTAAATGCTATATAAATTGCTGTTATACTGTATCATTTTATGGGCATTATTTCTTGTTGTATTGTCTTTATTAATTTAATCTTAAAATGTTTTTGATCTGCAGAGGGCTGAATCCATGGATGTAAAACCTGTGCATGTCATCTACCATTTGGGTCATGTCTTCTGTTTTCTAGATATGTAAATCCCAACCTCCAAAAGATAATTCCAGATTTTTGGGGGAACCTCCCCATACATACACATACATAGGTATATATGTAGCATATATACATATATACCATACATAATGCACACATAGATATGTGTTTTATACACACAGAGTGTGTGTGTATGCGTGTTTCTATGCATATATGTGTGTATATACTCGGATATGGCTTCCCGTTACCTACTGACTTTGAAAACGCCTTGCTCTGCTGTCAGTCATTATCTCCCACCATTACCTTTCTCATCTCTTAGCCAACAGGGCCGTGTTGCTCTTAAAATCACAAACCCGTGCTTTCCCACTTCTGCCAGCAATGTCCCCCGCCTGAAAAGAATGAGTGTCTGATTGTCATCATCATGCTGGTGTGTGAGTCAAGCGTGTGGTCTGGTGCAGTGGTAACAGGTAGGGGGGGCCCATGTCTCACTCCAGGTGGTGAAATTATGCCGGGAGTGTCTGCAGAAGCAGGAACCGGTGTTTGCTGACACCAACCTCTACAAGCTGCGGGTCCTGAGCATTGTTTTGGAAGTCCTCTCCTACCTTCAGGCCTTTGAGGAGGCCTCGGACTATGCCAGCAGGATGGTGGATGGCTACATGTAGGTGACGACCCTGGTCTCAGAGAGTCTCTTGGGAGTGTGTCTACTCCAGGGATGGGAAATAGGGGCACAGAGACTGCCGTGTTTCCCTCCTGCACCCACAGCAGGCACTCACAACCTACCGTGGCTCTCTTTATGACGGAGATTTTTGTCATGGTGTTCCAAACAGTCAGGGCTGGTCCTCGAGATGAGACCTGTCTGCCACCCCTGATCTTTCCCAGATCTCCAGCTCCTCTACCTTTTGGATCACAGCTTCTGCTTTGGATTTCTTGAAGGCAAAGTCCAACTTGACTCCCAGTGCATACAAAGCCCCCCACCTCCACCCACCCCATTGCCAACATAGGCAATTCTGTGAGCTTGCCTTTATTATTGTTTTTTGAAAAAGGCATCACTCAGCGTTGCTCATAAACTATAAAATGCAATTGCTTCCTTCTGCCAATGCCTTCTCTTGCCTCCTGCGTCCATGTTGTCATGTGACTGTGTCTTTGACCAAATGAGTGAGTTGGCACTCGAAGGTTTGTTTCTTCGAGAGGACGCTACTCATGAACAGGATGCAGATAGGAGGAAACCCTGCAAAGAGCGTGCCCAGGAGGCGAAGACACCATGCTGTCCCAAGAAGGACACTCAAGTCGTGTCTTCCCTGCTTCCTACCACTTTCCAGGGAGAGGGCTGAGGTACCCCGAGAGCTCCCTGCTCCCATGTTCAAGTTCAGAGAGTACAGTCCTGCCCTTTTCCCCCATGAGGACCTAGCTGAGTGGCTTGAGTCAGAATCCTAGCTCTTGCAGCCACACTGTGTGGGCTGTTTGGCAACTCACTCCATGTCTTTGCACCTGGTAGCCCTCGCAGTGGGCACAGAGGTCTCATGGCGCTGGGGGAGGAACAGAAGGGTGTGGTCAGTAAGGGTGCTTTATGATTTGTTGGGTGATGTGCAGACGTAAGGATGGCTGGAACGACTCTGTGTGTGGTTATTTGCTGTGTCTTGACAGGAAGCTTTACCATTCCAATAATGCCCAGCTGGGCATGGCTGTGATGCGGGCAGGGTTGACCAACTGGCACGCCGGCAACATCGAGGTGGGGCACGGCATGATCTGCAAAGCCTACGCCATCCTCCTGGTGACACACGGGCCCTCTCACCCTATCACCAAGGACTTAGAGGCAAGTGGCATGTTGAGGCTGGAGGCTTCCCGTGGGTCTGAGCTCTCTGAGGATAAAAGTCTGAGTTCAGGTGGACTCTGCTTCAGGAAGATCCACAGACTGTCAGCTAGACCAGAAGGGAATTTGGAAATGCTTTAACCCAGCCCCCTTGTTTCCCATATGAGGAAACTGAGACCCGTGGCCGTGGAGGTGGTCTGTCGAGAGTCACAAAGTGAGTTAATGGCAACTCTGAGACTTCAACCCCGAGTCTGTCCTATCGAGATGCCCCAAAGTCTGGACTGAAGAAACCTAAACAGTGTCATGCATCTTTGGCACGCGTGTGTACGTTTGTGCCTGCAGCCATTTATGTGAGAAATTATGCTGTGGGGTTCGACTTCATCGGCTCTGGATTCAGACCACCAGGATCCATCATGTCGCTTTATAGCTGTGCGATTTTGCAGATATTGAATGTATGGGCCTGTCTCCTCATCAGTAAAAGGGGTAAAGGGATGGGGTTATAGTGAGGATCCAGTGAGTTCATGTAGGAGAAGCAATTAGAACAGCGCCTGGCAGGTGGTGCTGCTGGTGTCCTTGTGCTTTGAAGGGCTGGTTTATTTAAGAGTGACAAGGCTGTCCTCGGACAGTGTAGTCCAGGGAAAGCAGATGACACCAAGGGTATTGTAGGCCGGACTTGGTGGCTCAGCCTGTCATCCCAGCACTTTGGGAGGCCGAGGTGAGTGGATTGCCTGAACCCGTGGTTCGAGACCCGCCCGGGCAACTTGGCGAGACCTCGTCTCTACAATCAATCAAAAAAACTAGCCGGGCGTGGTAGCGCACGCCTGTAGTTCTGGCTACTTGGGAGGCTGAGACGGAATGATCGCTGGAGCCCAGCAGATCAAGGCTGCAGTGGCTGGGAGCGGCCACTGCACTCCAGTCTGGGCGACAGAGTGAGACTCCAACTCAAAAAAAAAGTGTATTGTAGAATGGAACTTCAGAAACGGATATCCTTGTACTTCTAAGATCCCTGGTGTCCTTATCTAAACAATAAATAATATACTAGCCCCTCAAAATGGACATCAAGTTCAAGTAAAGGCAGAAAACTGGTGGGAACCAGCGTTATGTCTAGTGTACTAAACTCTCCAGAAGCAGCATTCTTGTCGATCTTATTCTCTGCTGTATCCTCAGCTCCTGAACTATGTCTGGCCCTTGATAAACATGTCTTGAATGAAACACAGAAGAGGGGGGACTTTTCTGTGTCATGCACTGTAGTCTTCCCAGCCCCATGTAAGGCGGGAAGGCATGTCACACGTTTCATGGGTGAGAAACTAAGGTTGAAGCGGAGGTGATCTGTCCAGGGCTACGTCCCTGGCCTGAGGTCCCACCACCAGTCCATGCAGGAGCCAGGGTTCCAATCCAGATCCCCCTCGGACAGTTCCTGAGAACAAACATTTTCTGCTGAGAATATCCCTCCAGCTGTTCTCTCAGGGGCCCAACTCCCTCTTCCGAGCAAACTGGGGCCACGACTAGGACATTAGGCCCCCGATGGATGAACACGTGCGTGCGCGTGTGTATGTGTGTGTGCGTGTGTGTGCGTGTGTGTCTTCCAAGGGTGGGTAGAGTTGAAGTTCAGTGCCTGGGAGCCATTCACCCCAAGGTAGTCAGAGGCCAGCATGTCCTGGGGACTGTCATCACTGTTTCCACTGTATCTGCGTCCTACAGGCCATGCGGGTGCAGACGGAGATGGAGCTACGTATGTTCCGCCAGAACGAGTTCATGTACCACAAAATGCGCGAGGCTGCCCTGAACAACCAGCCCATACAGGTTATGGCCGAGCCCAGCAGCGAGCCAGCCCCAGCTCTCTTCCATAAGAAGCAATGAAGGCCTGCCCAGAGGAGGAAATCGGGTCATGCGCCACCATGTTCCTGTGGGAATGTACTGTCCTATGTCCCCCAGTGCCATTTTGATTCAACTCAACACAGTTCAATTCAAGTAGACTCTATCCCAGCCCAGTCCAGCTCTTCCTACAAATATTTATTTGGGTGTCAGACCCTACCCCCTGATAAAGGAACCCCAAATGTCATTGGGTGGGGGAAACAAAGTGTAAACAAACACTGAAAGCACACTGTAATAATAACTGCGGTGGCAAAACCACGTGGAGGGGTGCTGAGGAGGGCGTGTGTCTGGGGTGTGTGTGTGCAGTGGGGGTCTCACGGAAGGGAGACATCTGAGCCGGGGACGGCAGGAGCGGGGAGTCTCAGGCGGCAGCTTGGCTATCGGTGGGAGTGTCTCTGGGGCTGCTGGTCTCGCCTGAGTTGTGGAATAGTCAGGGTTTGGCTGAGGACGGGCGATGTGGTTTCCTCAGGTCGCTGTGAGGTTATGAAGAAGGGGAGCTGGGTTTGGACCATTAAGAGTCTACTCAGAGAGCTGAAACCTCTTCAGAATGGTGCATACTCAGAGCTGGAGGCCTGTCCCAAACTGCCTGAAGTCTCAATTTAAGGTCTGGTTTCCAAGTATAACTAGAAATATTTCTAAGACAGAGAGAGCCTGTCTCCCTTTCCCGCCTTTCATGCCAAGCCTGGCGGTTCCCTGTGATGTGAAGGCTACTTGGACAATCGCTGAGACTTTTCTGGCCATTTGCCTTGTAGGACTGAGCAAGTCTTTTCAGGGTGAAGCTGAGAAAGATACGTGGAAACACACACACCTGATGCTCGTGGGTCCCGCAGAATTTGCCCTTGGGGATCCTACTTGGTTGAATGTGTCTGGGTGGTCCTTGCCTGCTTAAGACTTCGCCACTGACCCCAGGGGACCCCATTCTTGGCACGGAGTAATCATTACTTCCTTTGCTTCATTTCTTTTTCTGCCCGTGCCCTGGGGCTTCTGGCCTCCCCACCAGAAAGAACACTCTAATCCAGACTCTTTACATCCAGGTTAAGATCTCTTCAGAGGTGTGAACCATTTACCCTCATCTCCTGGAAGGTTTTTGTGATTTCCAGTTGAGAAGTGAGGGTCTTGGGAATCAACCAATCCCAAGGTTGGCCTGTTATGCTGATATCTTCTGAGACCCCAGATTCCTCACCAGGTGTTTTGGGAGATTCTGGAGCAAAGCCCTTCCGGTGGGGATGTCACCAAGACTTCTACACGACCCGGGCCTGCTATTGACCCCAGAGCTCTACTTAACATCTCAAAGTCAAGTGATCCCACCAGGCCCCGTATTTGCCATCTCTGCCTAAAATGCTTACTCCTCCCGCCTCGCCCTTTCATTCAGAGAACGACCCACGTTTCTCTGACTCCCCGTCCAGTGGCTGAGAATGCTGCAAACTCTGTTTTGCAGAATATCATGCAATGATGCTCTATTTCTGGAAGGTTTAACAGGAAGCGTGACAGTTCTTACAAGCCACCATACCACACGCTAAGAGATGGCACGGACATTCTCCCAGGGATCTACTGGCACGTTTAAGTCCTCACACGTCTACCCTCATGTCAAACCTGCTTCCAAACCTTCCCGTTTTTGTCGTAGTCATCTGTCAAGATGCCGGTCATTCCTCCATAAGCCTGGTTCTTTTTTCCATCCCGTCTTCCTAAAATGTGTTGTCTTCAATGAACTGTGCTCTGTGTCTCTGTTCCTCCTTTTCTGCTTCCCTCTTTGACTGGGGAATATGAGTTCCTCCTTCCCTCCAAAGCTAAAATCTTCCCTGTGGGGAGGACACCTTCCTCTCCTGTGTCCTCAGGCTTTTCTCCATCTAGTATGCCTTCTCTACCCTGGATCCTGGACATTTCTCCACCCACTGGCCTTCTTAAATGTACTCAATAATGATGGTGGGGACTCTTGGGTCAACATCTCCATAGCTGAGTTTTGTTTTTAGCGTATAGTTGTGATCTGCCTTTCTTCACTTTCATTTTCTTCTTGAACACACCACACACTGGCTTCCCCTCCTGCTCCTGCACTAAAATGACTCTCCCTAGGCTCACTCTAGGGGTACTTTTGAGACCTTCTATTATCTGGCCTCTCTGCCTCCATAGACACTCACTGCCCTTGATCTGGGGACGCCCCCGTCTTGTGATGGTCCTCGGATGTGGTTTCTCAGCCTCCTTCACTGGCCTTCTCTGTGGCTGCTGAGATTTGAATTTACTGGAATTAGTTCTGGCCCTCATTTATTCCCTTCTCAGGGCGCACACACTCGCTGCATGGAGGCCCTTTCTTAGTGGCCACCTTGAGGCTGATGGCTCCTAGATCTGTATTCCCTGACCTTGCACTTGAGGTCCAGGCCCAACTCATCCTCTTGGAAGTCCTGCAGGCACGGCAAACTCGGCACGTCCAAAACGAAGCGCCTTCTCCCACCTTTCTCCCCCGCCGTCTCTTCCTCCTCAGAACACCACTCAAGAACGTTACCTCCTCCATCAGATTGTGAACTCCTGGAGGGCAGAGGCTGCGTCTCTCTGTTCATCTTTCCAACCCCAGAACCTAGTGATAGGTGCTCAGTCGATGTGTGTTGAATAAATGAATGGATGAATAAACAGCCGACTGAACCTGCTTGTCTCAGATCAAAGGAGACCTGAAACTGTGTTTTGAGTTTTTGTGTTACAGCAATGAGCAAAGCCTATTAAACACTTTGTGTTTCCAAGCAAATAAGCGTGTCTTCTTTCTTTCTTTCCGGTGATCTTTTTAGAACAGCACGGTCTCATAGAACTTTCTGTGATGAGGAAAATTATTGTATCTGTGCTGTCCGACCCAATAGCCACCAGAAACATATCACTATTGAGCATATGAGTAGGACTGAGTAACTGAATTTTAAGTTTCATTTAATTTCAATTAACTTATACTTGAATAGCCAAACGTGGCTAGTGGCTGTGATATTAGATTGTGCAATTTTATTTTATTTTATTTTATTTTTTTTGAGTTGGAGTCTCACTGTGTCACCCAGACCGGAGTGCAGTGGCCGCTCCCGGCTACCGCAGCCTCGACCCGCTGGGCTCCGGCAATCCTTCCACCTCAGCCTTCCGAGTAGCTGGAACTACAGGCATGTACTACCACACCCAGTTAATTTTTGATTTATTGTAGAGATGAGGTCTTGCCAAGTTGCCCAGGCAGGTCTCGAACCCACGGGCTCAGGCAATCCACTCACCTCGGCCTCCCAAAGCGCTGGGATTACAAGCTGAGCCACCGAGCCCGGCCTAGATTGTGCAATTTTAAAGAAAAACTTTTAAGAGCGTGGACACTAAGAAGAACCACTTAAGTCTGTCTTTATCCCAACTTTCTATAGCCATGCGGCCATGGACTGGCTGTTTCACCAATGACTCAGTTTCCTCATTTCTTTTCTTTTTTTTTTTTTTTTTGAGTTGAAGCCTCACTCTGTCATCCAGGCTGGTGGGCAGCGGCATGCTCCCAGCCCCTGCAGCCTCTACCTGCTGGGTTCAGGCGATCCTTCTGCCTCAGCCTTCCAAGTAGCGGAACTACAGGTGCGCGCTACCACGCCCGGCTAATTTATTGATGTATTGTAGAGATGAGGTCTCGCTGATTTACCCAGGCTGGTCTCGAACCTGCGGGCTCAGGCAATCCTCTCATCTTGGCCTCCCAAAGTGCTGAGATTATGGGCGTGAGCCACCACGCCCGGCCTTGTTCCCTCATTTCTACCTACTGCATAAGTTTGCTGTGAGGACTGTATTTCTTAAATGTAAAGCCCGAGAACAGCGCCTGGCCCGTTATAAATGCTGAGTAGCTATGACGACACTTTGAGCTCTCCAGCCATGCTTTTGCTGGGCTGTCCCCTCTCCTAACTAGAAAGTGAAGACGAAGAGTGAGACAGGTAGTGGCGTTCAGGGACCAGCTCTTCTCGGCTCAGGAGTGCTGGCTGGACTCATCTCTTCCAACTCTGCTTTCATCAACTTCACACTGACAACTTGGAACTGGCCACGATGGGAATATTTACACCACAGTCATTGACTTAACTTTAGAATACATTCCTTTGCAGTGTCGCTAGTCTGTCAAGGGGTTTTACAACATGGAAGTCGCAGAGTGGATCGTTGTAAAGACCCTTCACAAAGTCCCACTTACACTGGAAATCTGCATCCCGAAGCCTCTGTTCCTTAGGGCCGTGCCACACAAATCTGAGACCTCGGATGACCACCCTTCAGATTGGGTTACTGCCCACGACACCACCGGTGTATTAACAACCCATGTTTGAAAGGCCAGGCGTACCTTGGACGAATCACTCGGGATCTCCTTCTCTAAAGGACGCAGGAGAGAAAAAAACAGTTGGGGCACACGGCAGAACAGCAACGTTTCTGAGGGCAGTTGGAGAGCCAAGCTTCTGACCAAGAGGTGGGGACACCGTTGAGGAAGACATCCAGTGCGTGGAAGTAATCAGCCCTTCTGTGGCAGAGAGGGGCTGACAACAGTTAAAAGTATTCCTTTCAAAGATCAGTGGAAAGCTCCGAAGACCTGCTAGACAGGTTTTGCTTGAGAAAACCAAATAGCCAAAGACAGCTTTCCTGGAAATGCAAGGTAGTGACCAATCCACAACCTTATCCTGGAGACATTTGTTCTTTGAAAATCTGGTTTTGCTGAGTACAACCTTGCAAATTCCAAAGAAAATATAAAGTCACTCAGCCTGACCCCCTCCCTTGCCTAAGCTAAGGTATAAGACCCCTCTCCTCCCTCCCTGGGGTGCTCAGCCTGGGAGTGTTAGCCTGCTGAGTCGCACTAGGGCTAATAAAACTGCTACTTTCTAAGATAGCCTCGATGTCACAGCCTCTCTGTGTTCCCGCAACACTTCCAGAAGCTCCTGTCCCCATATCCCATCCCGGCAGCATCACTCCGTCTCCATCGGGCCAGGGGGACTCATCGGTCTTAGAGAAGCATGGTAGACAGCACGGCCATAAGCCACTGTATGGTTCCAC